TTATTTTAAGAACTGTATTTTAAAAATTAAACAATAGCAAACACCTATGGACACCAATCAGATCTCTTTAAACAGGGAGACTAAGTAATGTCTTTCTCCCTGCTACACTCCTCGAGTCCAGTCCTGATCAAATGTCACAAATGTCACAAGAGCTTCTGCACAAGAAGCAGGTGTAGAGCTCTTATAACATTAGAAGGCTCCTTTCATGTGAATGTGTCAGTTACTATAACTGCCATGATGATATTTTTAAAAATTTCATTTTTTCTTTCATTATTTCTGACAAATGAGTGTAAAACGCTCCAACATCATAATCTAGAGAGCATCATTAATGTCCACCAATATCACACTGGACCAGACCGTGAACTCCCACTGGGTGGAGAGGCGTCATAGCTCGTGATCGGCAGGTGACCTGCATCAGACTGAGTTTGAGTCCTAGCTCCGATATAAACTCTCCCCAGACTGTTCCCTTATCCATATGCTGCAAACATAATACCTATTGTTAGCAGCATTAACTACAATGATGGTAATGGAGGTGCACACAGTAGGTGCTTGCTTAATAAATGTATTTCCTCCTCCCACCTCTCTATTGGTCTTCACATGCCTAGTATTTGTACTTATTAGGTTAATTAAATTGAATCAATATTGTCTTCATGTGTGGGGTAAAAACACTTTACAAAGCCCCACTAAGCACATTGACATTTTTCTCTAAGAAACGTGTCTCTTCTCCCCTCATTTTCCACTAGGCCTGGGAATGTGCATTTGCAACGTGCACACACATCACACGTGTGTGCTGATATGCGAGTTCCTCAGTTTGGTCCCAGTTAATAAAATAAGCAGAACCAGGCAGCATCACTACAAGCAGTTTTCTCTAGAGCTCCCCCAGGCCCCAAATGGTTGTCTAAGCGAAATGTTTTATGTCCTAATTACTGGTGGCAGCAAAGCCATTTTTAGTGTTGCGGTGGAAACTATGCAATTTTCCGGGGAGAATATGATTAGCCGTGTCAGAAAATAAGAAGCCCTGATCTAATTAGCAGCTCAAAAGACACTGTGATCTCTCCTGAGGCCAATATCTGTTACGTGATTCCCAGCAGAAACCTAATAATGAAAGCAAGAAACAGACCTCAGTATTTAGCCCAATCTACAGACTCGCAGATGTCCATAGGTCACTCCAGACCCATTTCACTCTCCGTGGGAAAAAACAGTAAACAGAGGAAATTCTTTTGTATCCTTCTCAGAAAGAAGATTTTTATGGTGACAAAGTTCAAAACACTATAAAAAGAAAGGAAACGCAAAACAAACAAAAAACAAGAAATTTCAATGATGCAACTTAATGATTTAATCCTAAATAGATTTCCCTGATTGACTTGTTAACTCTGGGAATCATTAGCAGGTGCCTTAAGTTTCCACGTGTTTTGAACATGTGAATTTTGTTAGGTTGCCAAACAATTACCTTTGTTTACTACTTTCCAGTTTCAGGATCTTTAGTAATAAATTTTGCTGGTAATCAAGAGCCCCTTACCACTGACACACACACCCTTCCCAATGGAACTTTTCCAGCATGAGGCCGTAATAGGCAGATGGGTCCTGATTTATGAAACTCTGCCACCAAACTGATGATGTCCACCCACTGCTCTTTCATATTATGCTAGTAAATACTTGAAATGGAAATCCTGGGATCATAGATCAAACATTACAAGGTAAAAACATTACAAGGTAAAAACTTCATGTGTCTCAATTAGAAATTATTCTGCTTGGTTCATATTTTCCATTCGAAACCTTTAAAAGTCCTAGTTTTTCCTAGGTTTTACTCAGGAGGTTAGAATGTTATGCCTAACAGAAAGCTACTTTGATTTTTCTTTTTCCTTTCTGGTTCACAATTGAAACAGAGGATTTACATCGCGAGGCGTGTCTAGGCTTTCTCCTGACGGTAAACAAAACTGTGATTCCTCTGAAAGTTGATCGTGTAATCTATACCACAGGCTTCAAATCAAGAGTAACTTACTACATGTTGAATCCACTTAAAAGAGAACTAAAAGTATCATTACACAGCTTGAGAAGTTGTTAAAAAAAAGTTATTTATTCACTAATGGAAATTTGGCCCAGGCCGCTTGCTCATTGTTCCAAACAGCAAGGACTTGAAGATTAACCCTCCCTTTTGTGGAGAGAAGTCATCTTCCGAGGGCGGAGCTGAGAATGCTGGTAGGGAAGGGTAGGTAAATGTGATTTCCTAGCCTGGAAATAATTCAGTAGGAAGACAGAATTTGTGCCAATAATATCACCATTACTTTAAAAACAAGAGTTTTAAAAATTATTAATAAAACAGTGAAACGAAAATGAGGGCCTCAAATGAGCAGGATTGTTTCAGAAATTACATCTCAGAGTATTTTACAAAACCATGAGAAGTTAGACAGCATTTGTTGGCCCTTTTCAAAGACCATCAGCTTTTCTTGGTTTCACAACAAACTACCCAACTTTTGATTATTGTGCTTAATCAGCCTTTATTTAATTCACCATTTTTCTGGTTAGCAATTTGGGCTGGGCTCAGCTGGGCCGTTCTGGTCACAACCAGACTCACTCATGCATCTCCAATCGCTTTCTGGGGTTAGTTAGGGGCTGGCTGGTCCAGAATGGTGTGCTGGGCAGGATAAGGACTCCCCGCACCCCAAAGATGTCCACATCCTAATCTCTGCAACCCATGAATATGTTACTTCATGCAGCAAAGGGGGTTAAGATCACAGATGGAGTTAAGGTTAATCAGTTCATCTTAAAATAAGGAGATTAACCTAGGTTATTTGGGTTCCTCCAATCTAATAACAAAGGTACTTAAAAGCGTAAGGGGGAGTCAGGAGAGGAGGTCAGAGCAATATGAAGTAAGACAGACACCACCTGCAGTTGCTGGCTTTGCAGACAGAGGAAGGGGCCATAAACCAAGGAATGCAGGCAGCCTCTAGAAGCTAGAAAAGGTAAGGAAAGAGATTCTCCCCTAGAGCTCCCAGAAGAGAACACAGCCCAGGTGATGCCTAGATTTTAGCCCATTGAGATGGGTGTTGGACTTCTGACCTACAGAACTGTAAGATGATAAACTGGTGTTGCTGTGAGCCACTAAATTTGTGATACTTGTTATGGCAGTCATAGAAAACTAACACAGATGGTTTCATCGGGGACAGTCCCTCTCTGCTCCACACAGCCTCTCATGCTCCAGGAGGCCACCTCGGGGTCTGTTCAGATGAAGGTGCCCAGGATGCCAAGAGGGTGAGTAGGCAGAGTACAAGGCCTGTGGATATGTAATCCCAGCACTGGCACACCATCAGTTCCGCCCTATTCCACAGGCCAAAGCAACTCACAGAGCCACCTCAGATCTAAGGGGTAGGGAAGGAAACCCTGCCTCCTACTGCCAACTAGGTCAAATAAAAGGAGAGAAGAATTGAGTCCAGTTTTGTAAACAATGTACCACAAAGACTGAAACCTTCATATCTCATTATTAGAACTTTTTAGGACTTGGTTTTAAAATTTGAACAATGGTATTATCTTGAAGATAAAAATAACATGTTGTGTACTTTAAAAAATTTATTGGTTTTGAATTGCAGTACTACTTACCTTTCTTAAAAAGTTAAATCCTATGGGGCTGGCCTGGTGGCTGAGTGGTTAAGTTTGCATGCTATATTTTGGTGGCCCAGGATTTGCAGGTTCAGATCCTGGGTGCAGACCTGCACACTATGCATCAAGCCATGCTGTGGCAGCATCCCACATACAAAATAGAGAAAGACTGGCACAGATGTTAGCTCAGCAACAGTCTTCCTCAAGTAAAAAGAGGAGGATTGGCGATGGATAATAGCTAGGCCCAATCTTCCTTACTGAAAAAAAAAAAAAAGTTAAGTCCTATTTTTTTCATTTAAATTAAGACTATTCAAGATGTCTGAGTTATCTGGACATCTAAAGCAGTGTTGCCTGATAGAAATATAATGAGAGTCACACATGTAATTTCAAATTTTTAGAAGCCACATTAAAAAAAGGTAAAAATAAACAGGTGAAATAAATCTTAATAGTGTATTTTGTTTAACCCAATATATCTAAATATTATCATTCACCACGTAATCAATAAAAATATTCATGAGATATTCTACATTCTTTTTTTCATATTAAGTCTTCAAAATCCACTGTGTACTTTACACTTGTTAGCACATTCTAATTTGCACTAGCCTCATTTCCAGTGCTCAATCCTCCCATGTGTCTAGTGGCTGTCATAGTAGGTAGACCATATCTAAAGAATTTAAGGAAAACCTCAGGCAAAATTATAAGTTGCCTGAAGTTTGAGCTTAAAGCTCCTCTTCTCCTCTGCTCTTGGAAAGCAAGAGAGCACAGGGCATGGAAATACTTTGTGATTCAAACAGCCCTGGATGTGAAAGTTGAAATGCCATTTACCAGGCCTTGTGATGTAACTTAATCTGAGCTTCAGATTCCTTGTTAATACCTGTCTGACTCCTCTTCATAGAGTATAGTTCAAGTGCAATGGTATATGGAAAGGCATTTAGCACCAGGCTTGGCATAGTAAAGAAGCTACCCTTAGTTTTGCTTTTAAATCATGTCTTCCAGGAGAAGGCAATGCCTAATATAAAAAAAAATGGACTCCTTTTAGAATTTCAGGCACCAATCACAGGCTGTAGAGCGTGTTCCTTCAGAGGGGGAGAATGAATCAGGGACAAGGACGGTGGGGAAGTATGTCAGAGAGCAAGGAATCCTACGAAATTCCTAACACTCCCAGACTCTCCCCTCTTCCTGATATTATAAATGGAAAATTAAGTTGCAAGAAACCATATTTTAATTCAATATAAGATAATTTCAAGTTAGTTTCATTGTGAAGACGTTTTTTATCAGAGTATGGAGTAAACTATAAATTTGGTTTGTTTTTTTTTTAAGCCAAGAAGAATATTGGTTTTCCAAAATTGGACAAACTAAAATCTGACTAAATATGGCAATAAAAGTCAGGAAAAAAAGACAAATTCATGAATAAGTGACTGTTGTTTAAACCTTAAACTTCTTCCTACAAGGTAGACTAATCTAAACGCCACTGCATGATACCAGCATGGGTCACGCTGTCTTAGTGAATCATTGCCCCTCCAAAATGAACAAAAATATACAATTATTAGCTTCCCAGAAAGTGAATACAGCGTTGGCAGATTCAATAAAAGAGTCAGAGTGAGTCAGTCAGAGTGTTCTTTGGTATTTCCAAGAGCCAGGCACAACTGCAACCACATTATTTCTGGCCTTCGGACCCTTGATTGGGCACCAAGTAGTTATCTGACAGATGTAATAGTGGGGCAAAATGATCAGTAAAGGAGACGTGCTCGTGGACTAACTGGGCGTCTGGTCAGACACTGAAATGTCTTTCTAAGTTACTTGGTGGCCCAGTTTCCCGAGGCTGCTGTGACAAGGTACCACAAACTTAGTGGCTTAAAACAACAGGAATGTCTCAGAGTTCTGGAGGCTACAAGTCTGAACTTTGGGTTCAGCAAGGCCGTGCTCCCTCTGAAACCTGGAGGAGTATCTTTCCTTCCCTCTTCCGAGCTTCTTTCTGGTGATTTGCTGGCCATCTGGTGCTCCTTGGCTTGCAGTTGCCCTAACTCCATTCTCTGTCTTTGTCATCACAGGGTGTTCTCCTTGTGTGTCTGTGTCTTCACGTGGCCATCTTCTTCTCAGGGCACTGGTCATATTGAATTAGGAGTCCACCCTACTGGAGGATGACCTCCTCTTAACTGATTACATTTCCAATGACCCTATTTCCAAATAAGGTCACATTCTGAGGTATTGGAGCTTAGGACTTCAACATATCTTTCTGAGAGACACACTTCAACCCACAATATTTGAGTCCACTGGGATCTGAATAAAATGGTTGCGAGGCAATGGAGTATGGTGGTTAAAGGCATGGACTGCTGAACGCTCACCAGTCTGGATGAACCCAAGTGAATTCAAATCCTAGCTTTGGGGCTTAGTGTGTGATCTCAGGCAAGTTGCTTGACTCTAGGCGCCTCCCTTTCCTCTATCTAGATGAATGCGGTAATGGTGGGACCTGACTCCCAAGGCTACTGAAGATGGAGTCAACATACAAAATGCCTAAATAGTGCCCCCCACACAGGAATGCTGTAAAAATGGTCACTAATTATTATTTTTTGTTGTTGCATATTGGCTTAAATCCTCACAGCTATTCCTACCCAAATTTGAAGTTCTCTTTTTCAATTGAAGTTCCGTTTTTCAGCAGCTCTGGGGCTGCTCTGTTTTGTTTTGTTTTTGCGCTTTAGGGCATAGTTCTATTTATTTCAAAATTAAATGAGTCTCCTGTCACTTATGCTTATGGTATGTAAACAGACAAAGTTTCTGACAGGAATTTGGCCACACATATCAAAAGCCTTAAAAAAAATGTTTATAACATTTGATCCAAGCATTTTATTTCTAAAAATTTATTCTAAGTAAGTAAGTTAAGATGAGCACAAAAATTCTGCTACAAGGTTTTTTTAAATCATAGGTCTATTTATGATAAAAAGCTACAAAAAAGCTATTTTTGTAATGATTGATTTTTAAAAATCACGGTCTATTAATATATCAAATGCTATTCAATCACTAAACAGTGAATTTGAGATCGTTTTGACAAGAGAATGTATTCACTATGTATTGTTGAGTGAAATAGGACAAAGCAGCCCTGTCCCACAGATTCTCTGCAAGGATAAAAATGTTCCATAGCCACGCTGTCCAATATGGTAGTCCCCAGCCACCTGTAGTAACCAAACACTTGGAATGTGGCTAATGCAACTAAGGAATTTAATTTTTCATTGTAGTTAAATCTGAATAGTCAGATGCCGCTCACGGCTATTATAACGAATAGGCAAGGTCTACAGTATCTTTTACTTGGTTCCTCTGCCCCATCTTTCTTCACCTTCCTTTAAAGCCCCTGTCATCTCTCTGTCCTTCCCACCAGACTCCACTTTGCAGGCAATCCTCACTCTTCTCCCTCTAGTTTTTTTACGCGGTATCATCTGCTCTCAGGAGATCACCTAATAAATGAATTGTTTCCCAGACATAATGAAACTTGATGTGTTACTAGTTTTATAAGTGTTTGGAATTTAACCAAAATTTGACCCACTGCCAAAATAATATCATGAGAATTTCACACATGAAGCTGAATATGGGGGCAGTAAATGAAATTATTTCTGATCACACAATAAGAGACCTTCCATATTCACATTTTAAAACATTAAATCTTGCTCTGAGGACAAGCCATTAGATTTAATCAGTAAGGACACTAAAGTACTAAACTATGACCAAAAAATGGAGCACCTGCACTTTTGCTAATTTGCTTATTAGCTCTAGCAGTATTCTTGTGGATTCTTTAGGATTTTCGATATAGAGGACCATGTCATCTGTGAATAGAGATAGGGTTATTTCTTCCTTTCCAAATTGGATCCTTTTATTTTTCTTGTCTAATTGCTCTGGCTAGAACTCCCAAAACAATGTTGAATAGTAGTGGTAAAAGTGGGGATCCTTGTCCTCTTCCTGATTTTATGGGGAAAGCTTTCAGTCTTTTACCATTAAGTATAATGTTAGCTGTGACTCTTTTTGGTTTATTGTTTTATAAATGTCTTTTATCATGTTGAAGGAGTTCCCTTATAGTCCTAGTTTTCTGAGAGTTTTTATAATCAAAGGGTGTTGGCCTCTGTCAAGGTGAATTACTTCCAGGTCATTAACATCCTGTAAACAGCACCTCACATTGAGCTTCGCACAGTCAACAATTTAGTAAGTGTTTGCTGAGTAAAAGTGATTTGAAAACAGCAAACACCAAAAACCTGGAATCACATGTCAAGAGACATTCTTTGAATAAATTATCCTCAGAGATGCATTTGGAAAGAGTGGCTCCCCCACTCCTGACGAAAGCTGTGTAACTCATATAGAAGTTAAAAAAAATCACCTCTTACACTAAATAAATTTTAAAATATAGAACTCTGACACCTAATACCATTACGAAACATAGTTGTCTAAGTATAGTCCTGAATTTAAACAGGCTCAGTCAAATGAGGGAAAACAGCCACTATCAGAGCCTTCTGTGGAGAACTTTTGCAGCCTCAGGACCTATGCCAAACACAAAGGGTTCCTCGACAGCTTGACGTCAAATTTGAACGTCTGAGCATTTCCTCTAGTGAGATCATTTGACACACATTTGTAAGTCTATCGATACCAGAGCAGTGTTTTGCAGGAGGAACTCTACGGCTTCCAGCGAAGTCTCTATTTTTCCTCCTGGGTGCATCCGCAGCGTTTCTCGCTAGGTATGATGGCCCCAGGTATGTTATTTTCCTTTCAGGCATCTTAATTGGACCCTGCTGATGAAAAAAAACAATCCACAAGGAACACGCAGTACAAAATAATATTTGTCACTGATGTGGTAGAAATAGAAAATTACACAAACAACTTGGGAATTATAGGTTCATCACCACGGGGGTGAAAAGTTATAGACCATTTCTCACCCTCAATTATCCGTTGGTTCCCTCTTGTGCCAAAGCCAAATACTTGGTTTCGTTGCATGCTTCTGTAACTTCTACTCACCGAGATCTAACACTCAAACACGCCAGCCAGGAGTGGCATTGGCCAGGTTCTTGGTGAATACCTTCGAGGGCAATAATATATGTTTACATGTAACTCATAATTAATCACTAAACTTCCTTTTGGGGAAAAAAAACACATTTTGGGGTATATTTTACTGTCTAGGGGGCAAGAAATGACAGGATGGGAAGAGAGGAGAAGCAAGTAAGGGGGGATGATTGAAAACATTTGACTTGGCTTGAAATAAAAGTACATATTTCACACATATTTTTAACCAACCCCAAAAGACAGCCTGACTTCGAACATGCTGAACAGGAAGCCATTTACTGTTGGAATGCTTGCTGAGCCCATCCAAAACATACAGGCTCCTAATACCCCTGGGCTATCTAAAAAGGGTTGGGGGAAAATATTTAATTTATACGTGCAATCCTGCTTCCTGTTTTATTTTTTTCCTCTTTGCCAACTCTGTTTTTCAAACTTTGTGAAAAACGATAGGAAACCTATTTCATTTTTCTCCCCACCCTTTATTGACCCAGCTGTGCATTCTCCCTCAATTTATAGCTCATACCTGGCTTGAGGACCAAAGAAAGAGAGAAAGGTAAAGACGGATGTTAAACTCTCATGGTTACTGCGGCTAAAAAGGAATCTGGGTGGGGAAAGCTTGCTGTGGTGTGGATATCAAGGGCAGGAGGGTGTGGAACAGGGGCTTGCCTCGGTTTTCAGAATGTGTGCATTCAGAAGGTGAAAGGAAAGGTATAAAGAGGAGGGGGGAAAGGAAGGAATTTTCTGAGAATGACATGAGTGACTGGAGACACCTGAATCCTATTAAATTTCAAAGGAACAGTCCTGGTTATCAAGAGGAATTTTAAAATATTTTGGAGAAGAAAATAAAAGACTCAAACAATTAAGAAGTATAATTCAAACAAAAGATTTTTCAAAACTTTTTAAAACTATATTGGAGTGCTTGATATTTGATTTAATGTAGAAGGGACGCTCTTTTAGAATAAAATAAGTTCCAGATGGTGTACTTATAGCATACCCTTCCTATTATACTGTGATTTCTTGAGAATGCTGAGTCAATGCGCAATAAAACATTTGAAAGAAAATCTGACACCGAATGGAAATCCAGCAAGTTTGAAGTTCAGATTTAAAAGATTCTTTTTTTTTAAGATTGGCACCTGAGCTAACAACTGTTGCCAATCTTCTTTTCTCCCCCCTTCTTCTTTCCCCCCAAAGCCCCCCAGTACATAGTTGTATGTTCTAGTTGTGAGTGCCTCTGGTTGTGCTATGTGGGGTACTGCCTCAGCATGGCCTGATGAACGGTGCCATGTCCGTGCCCAGGATCAGAACCGGCGAAACCCCTGGGCCGCCAAAGCGAAGTGCGCGAACTTAACCACTCGGCCACAGGGCCGGCCCCAGATTTAAAAGATTCTTGAACTCAATCTGATTTTCCCAGAAAGCTGACCACATGCTATGGAAATCCCATGATAGGAAGGGTTTTATAATTGAGCAGTTTGTTTTAAATATTTCAAAAGAGGTGGGGAAACCTGTAAACAGCTGAACTCAAATAAGTATTTCAACATTGCCTTTTGAAGCTATGTTTCAATTTTAATTTCATATTTTATATTTCTTAAGTCGAACACCATCCTGGGAAATTCTGCTTGTCACCTTTACAACGCTTTAAGGTCCAAGTAACTGGTTTACTTTAAACTTTTGGTTTTAAGTTGATAAATGCAAGGCAGCAAGCCACGTTTCAATTGTGTGGCAATAAAAAACGTGTAGTAAAAAACCGAATACTAACACAGTTTCATATGTCTTTTGTTAAATCAGCTTTCAAAGTTTATAAGCAAGAAATGTGATAACATCGATTTGTACTTCTGAATTTGAAGACAAAGTCAGCCTCTCTATTAACCTACAAACACTGTGTGGCCTCAGACGCACACGATGGTCCATTCCATGCAGCTCCAGCTAAGACTGCATTACTGATTCTTATCTCTGTGTATTTTCACCGTGGCTCATCTTAAGGGAGGTGATGTGAATGTAGATTTCTGACCTATTTTTGAGGTAAACTAGTGTGGATTATCAGTCCTGTTGAGTAGTCCTAGCTCGGTCAGCTACCTGCAATAATCGTGAAGACTGCTGTTACAAAACTCCTGGGAGCAATTTTCACGTGAAACTATATCTCCTGGAACTATGCATCACTGAAGTAGGTATGCAGTCATCTGTGAACTGGTCCAACGAGTGGTGTGCTGGTAAACCTGCTCAGGAGGTAGAGGGAAGAGGCCGATTGCACCCTTTGCCAATTTCTATGGTATAAATGCTCCCATCACGGTCACTTTCAAGGTACCAACTGGTGATGTCACTGAACACAGGTTTAAGTCAGGACCAGCACATCACTCCTGCCTACACTCCACCCCAGAACCAACAGAATGTGTCAGCAGGGGCTCCTTCCCTCCTAAGTGTCCTCAGCTTCCAGACACCTTCATGCTCTACCTCTGGTGACCAAGAAACCAAAGAATCATGAAGCCTGAGGCGCTGGGATCCACTTTGGGTGGGTAAGCTCTCAGCCCTCCCTTGGAGAGTCCAGTCCACCTTCCTGACCTGTTCTGCTCCTATTTCTTCTACTCTGGACCCTTTCTGTGCCCTGACGTGTCACTCCGTTGGCCACTCTGCAGTGTCCCCAGAGATGGCTCCTTAGGGGCTTTCTTCCTTCACTTCCACTATACTCTTGCCTCCTAGAGTTAAAATCTAACTAACTCGGATTCCCTAAACCCCTAAGAAAAACCACCTTCCCCAGTAAATGACTGGAACTGAACTTGATTCAGGGTTTGGCTACTACAAAAGGCCGCATAACCTTGACCCAGCTCTCCTCCTCAGACAAGGCCTTCTACCCCCAGAGCTTGGTGCTTGCTTGCATTGGAATGGCATTTTTGCCTCACTCCCTGGATTTGGGTTAGGCTGCAGTCTCTTTGTTGAGGCGGAGAGATCTCCAGTGTGTCCTGTCTCCGTAACCTCTGCTAAGCTTAGTCCCTTCAGGCTCCCTCTATTTCCACATGGCAGTGTAACCCTCCCGATAGGCACTGAGAAGGAAAGAATATTCTTCTCCACCTAATGTATTCGCTCTCAGTATTTTCAAATATAAAGCTCATTTTAAGGCCAAGAGTTACTCAAACCTTTCTAGGTATAACCGTAGTTTTTAATATTTTTTAATTGGGTGACAAAAACCATCATGATTAGAATTTTTAACCTAATTTATGTTTTTGGGGATCACAACAGCCCCCAAACATTTGAAAGATAGCCCATCTATGATCAGATAACGCACATGATGCTGAGCGTGGTACCTGTACACAACAGTAGAGAACGAATGTTAGCTATGATTATGGTTGTCGATGTTCTTCCTCCTGACGCATCAACTCCCAACCACACGACTCAGTCAGTCGTCTCCTTGCCCCGAGTAGTGTCCCTTTACAAACCACAGTGGAAGGAGGAAGCACTCTCAAATCTGAATCTGATCAGGTCAGAAAACAAAATTTATTTACACTTTCCGATATTTTCCTACCAAACCAAGAATAAAATACCAACTTCTTGCCCAAGCCTACAACAGCCCTCATGCCCCAGCCCCTGCCTAACTTCCCTGCTCCCTTTCTGATCCTCCACTCAAGCTTCTGGCCTTCATAGGACCATTGCCCTTGCTCTCTGCCACCTGGCGTCCTCTTCCTCTCGATCTGCACGTGGCTTTCTCCTTTTCAGTCATCAGAATTTGGTTTAAATGACACCACTTCACAGTGGTGGCCTCACTGGCCATCCAATTTAAATAGCCATCTAGTCACTCTCTATCACATTACCTTATTTTGATCCTGTGCATAGCAATTTTATTCTTATCTGCTATTTCTATTGTTTATTTATTCATTTATTGTCTATCTTCCCCACTACAATATAAGCTGGGGTCCTCTCTTGTTAACCACTGTATTCTTGTAGCACCAAATTTGTAAAGCATCTACTTTTTTCAGCCTACAAATAATGTGCGTGTATCGTTGCAGATTCCTTGTAATATATCGTCGGGCTTGTCCTATCTATGTTCTACTCCATTAAATGACACTTCCTCTGAAATATAACAAATCATAATCCTCACCCAATTAACCTGAAATCGAAGGCAAGTGTCTCTATGTTCCAAACCTTGCCGGTTAGTTCCTATGGCAAGGCCGGCCAACTGCTCTCCCCCACAGTGGCTTGCCATGTGATCTGCCTTCTCCCGGTTCCCCATCCTCACTTCACCAGGAATCACTGATTGAGTCCCTCATTATGTAACTGAGAAGGTATATACCGTAAAACCTGGTTCTCTCAAATCTGGAATTTAGCATCTTCGGCATCCACATCACAGGAAGTAGATGGATTCATCCCTAGCTACTGCAGTGAAAAAGGATGGGGTGGGAGGGAGACTGAAAGCTACTGTCTAGAGGCAGAGCCTTCTGGGTAATGGGGGAGAGTCATCCGGTGACCCCACAACCTGGTTGAGCTGGGATTGAAGTCACGGAAGATTTCCTGTGCAAACCACGCGTCGGCATTGTATAGCAGGTGTTTCGGCTGAAACGACTTTCACATAGTGGGCAAATTCCTCTCCCCTGTCTCTACATAATTAGCCGAGAAAACGAATTTTAAGAACAAAGAATGTCATTCATAAAATGTGTTTCACAATAAATATGAATTAGAGAACTGAAGATTCACTGTTGCAGACACACAGACTGAAAATTTGGCAAAAGTGACTGCCAAAGAATGACAATAGAGACTGAGAATTTGGCAATAATGACTAATCCAATACGATTGGCAAGGGATGGAGAAACAGAATTGAAACCAGAACAGAAGAGAAAAGAGATCCAAGAGCACGAGGACACGGATCCTTGGGCAGTGTCTCTCCAAATTTCACCAAAACATGAAACCACCTGTAGCTTTACTCATTTATTGTCTATATCTGCTCTACATGAGGAATAACTAACATGGCATGAGAAATCGTTAGAGAAATAAATATAAGCCATTGCATAAGTGTGTTTGATTCTCAACCAGTTA